GGGGGCATGGAGGACCTGCAACAAACAGCAGCTGTCACACCAGAGACTGGGATGTCCATTTAAAGGTGAACGAAAAGAAGAAGAGCATTATATTATGCCTCTTTCAGACAAGATCGCCATAAAGGGTACGCGAGACCACCGGGAAAAGAAAAAAAGAGGCAGGCCAACTGGCAGCTGTAGGAGTACGATCAGACATTTGGCAATCACCCAAATAAGGGTTGGAGTTAGTGCAAGAGGAAGGGTTAGGGTTATGGTTAATGTGTTAGGGTTAGGATTAGGATTAGGGTTAAGGTTAAGGGTCAGGGTTGTTAATTGTAGCCGGGCAAATAGACCGCCAAGTGGAACAATTATCAGACTGACCCAGTGGTAGACCTTCAAGTTGGAAAGAAGTATTTCCATTGACCGTCCAGTGGATTGGCACCTTATCTATTCTTATCTTTAAAGTTTCTTTACAGACTTACGATTTGCAATAGCGTGTACAATGACGTCGAATTCTAACATGTATTCCCCTTGCCGTGGTGTCACTATTTGGCGCAAAAATCCTTGGAGGGACTAGTAACATTTTTTTATATTTCAATAAAACTGTAGATACCAATAATACGATAGGTTTCGATTATACGATAGCCTTGTCGGCACACGTCATAATGAAAGGAAAGCAATTAAAACTCACATGTTCGCGGTACGAGAGGGTTTGAGCTCTGCGGCGGCTTGCTGCTTCCGGTGACCTTCCCTGGCACTCCCTGGACGACCTTGAGGGGGTCATTCGTATTGGGCTCTTCGCACGTGAGGATCTGACAGCACGGGCTGCGTGGGTCGGTCTCCAGGCGGCAGCCCGGCTGGGGCGGTTGTGTTTTGGCGCATCTGTGAGACGGCACAGTGTTTTATACACCTCAATAGATTTAGTCTCGGCTACTGTATAAACTATGTGTTATTGAAGCTGGATGTTTATCACTTCAAATAAATGTTTGATCATTATTAGAATAACAACAGCAATCTGAATTTTACCAAATAAAATGTAGAATATACTTTTTAAAGTATATTTTGTGCATAGTGACGTGTGAAAATTCAACAACAAATAAAAATTTCAACAAAAAGTATTACAGTGTTGTATTTCTTAGTCCCTTAAACAAATTATTCTTTAAGATTACACATACTTCAAAACACTTGCTGTGATTCCAATTTTTTTTAAAAATACAATTGACCAAAGCCTCACTTGTCTCTCTTGCTTATAGCGTTGGAAGCCGCATCTTCACATGTGAGAACACTTGAGCAGCCCTCGTCCCAGCTGTCGCCCTCCATGTGGGAGACGCCCTTGTCCATGCAGTAATCTGAGGAAACAGGAGAGTAGCTGATTAACACATTGGGGACAAAGATTTAACAAAAATCATTATATTAATTTGATTTTTTAGTATAGCCTCTATTAGATGGCAGGCATGGTGTTTCTCTTATCACCTCAGTCTTTTTGGAAAGAAAGAGGGGGAAGGGGAAGAAGACAATTAGGAGAAAATGTATTGGAGGAGGAAGAAGAAAATGAGGAGAATGAGGATGAGGTACTGGGGGGGATGAGGAGGAGGAGGAGGAGGAGGAGGAGGAGGGGGGGAGAACAAGAAGGAGGAGCAGCAAGAAGGACGAGACGTCTGTAGTGGAATGTGAGGCTGTCCTCTTAGCATACAAATAACGTGAAATGGGATTATCCCTTGGGGGAAAGATGCTTTACGGAGAGGGAGGGTCCGAGTCAGCCGAGATAAGCTGAATCCGAGCAGCCAGGTCCCAAATAACCTGTGGTGATTTTTACTAAGTGTGAATAAAACAACAACAGTACCAATCATTGATAAAAGTAAAGTTGCATATCCATTCCCACTTCGCAGACCCGGGGTCACAGCCGTGGGATTCTCAGAGGGATTGCAGGTCTATCTTACATGTAAGGAAACAGCGGGCTATGATGTGAGAATGCATTTGGGGGGCATGAGGGGAGGGGGATTAATACTTTAGTTTTTTAGTTTTAGTACAGGTTTTACGGCAATCGCAACTGCATAAGGTCATATGAGCGCCAGAAGATTAGAGGCGTAACAAGAGAGTAACAAACATAAAAAAGAAGAAGTGGAGATAAGGACGATAGATGCTTGATCGGAAAGAAGAAGCAAACCACACCAGAGCAATCTCTCCCGTTACCTGGTGTCGGAGGTATGAGCGTAGTCTGGCCAGGGTACTGAGTGGGGGGCGCGGGGACGTTGCACTGTGGCTTCTTGCAGCACGGGTTCATGGAGTCGTACACGTAGGTACAGTATGGGGGCAGGTCGGGGTAGCTGGGGCACCTGGGATAATAAACAAATACGGGATAACACATAGATGAAAATGACTGTGTGATGACTGATATATGCAATGGTTTTGCACTGTAAGTTTATTTAAGAGGTATGAGAAACAAAGATATGGTGAAATCAGGAGCTCGTCAGTGTTTGGACGTATGGAGTCCTTGGTATTATCTTAAGAAATGCGGAGCCAAAAATGAAAATTGATAGAAATTGCCCAAAGTTGGAAATATGACGGTTTCTTCGATTTCATTATTTTAACAAACACCTGATTTCATCACGATGCCACACAAAGATAAAATACAAGTGTCTCGCCTTAATCAAAAGCACGAAACAGTCCTACTCACATGGACGTGCACTTGTAGACGTTGTTGACCTCGTCCGTGCATTCGCAGTTCTTGCAGTCATCTTGCCATTTCTCTCCCTGATTGTATACGCGCCTCTTGAAATAGCAGCCCGCTGGTGAGTTGGAAAGTGGGGTTGGGAGTTGGGGGTATGCGACAAAGACATGTTGAAATAGGAATAGTTCGACCATGCAGTAGACTTGGAACGTTTTTGTTTGCCCCTTTAATGACAGTTGGTTCTGCCTGGGTTCGGGTTGTCTTTGTTTTAATTAGTTTTCTTCTCTTCATTTTAGTATGTTTTTCTCAGTTCTTGTTATTTTGTGTTGTCTATTTTGTTCTACTGCTTGTGTTCTTAGTCCATTTTTTCACATTTCCTCATAATAATGTTTGATTGCTTTTGGTTATTGTTTTTTGTTTGCTTGTTTACTTGTTTGTTTGTTTGTTGTTTGTTGTTTGTTTGTTGTTTGTTGTTTGTTGAGGTTTGTTGTTGTCTTGTTTGGGGCTGTTTTGTGGTTTTTTGTTGTTTGTTCTTTCTTTTGCTTGTTTGGTTGCTGTTGTTT